GCACGATTTTTTGTTCCTAATTATTAATTTTTTGTTCCTAAAAAATCTTGCCCCCCCCCCTCACTTAAATCCTGTATCCGTCCCTGGTTCCCGAGTTATGATCGGACAAACAAGCAGACAGACAGAGATTACAATTTTATATATATAAATAGAATGAGACTATTATGACAACCTAAAATAGTAAACTAAGTGATTTGACAAGAGAAGAAAGCTTAAAGTTGAGAATGTAAGAAAAAACACTCTGTATATTTCTGTCTCTTTTTTGTTGGAAACCCTGTACACAAAAAAACATTTAATCTAATAACAAAAAATGAAAAGAGGGGGAGGGCACCTCATTGCAGCCTGTAAGAGTCAGACGTAGATTTACTTGTATGATTTAATGTGTCCAAAGCTGAAAACTTTAGAATGGGAAATCCTTAATCCCGATCAGTTAATTAATCTGGAGATTAATAACAAGAGGAAAACAAGCATAATTCAATCTGGAGATTAAGGAAAAGAGTGGATCAAGCATTAATCTCAATATCCACCATTCAAAAGTTCCCAGTTCAAGTAATTGCGAGGTTTCGTGAATTTTCGTAATTAAACAATCATAGGAATTGAATCTTTGCAACATACTCTGATTTTCTAATCATTATACCTTTGCAGACCAAAATCTTAGACCTTAGATATTTCAAACTATGATTTCGGTTAGATCAAATAAATAAAGATTGAAATACCAAAATTTAAAACAGCCAGGTTTCAAAGATATAGGGATTAGAAAACATGAGTTTGTCGCAAAGACTTAATTTCTGTATGCGACTTCATTCAATCAATCAATCAAAAACATAGTTTGTTTCATATTATCTTTACTATTATTACTTAAAAAACCATTTGTATTTAAAAAAAATCAGTTTTCATGTAAATTTATTTTGACGTTAAATTTAAAAACCTATGATGTAGAAAATGTGTTAAAACCTTGGACTTATGAGTGCTTAATACAGAAGAAGTAGTTTAATCAGCTTCACCAAATTAGTTAAAATTATCTTATTCATTGACGAATTGAGTCTTTGCCCTATACTCAGGTTTTCTAATCCCTATATCTTTGTAACCGGATAGTGTTGACCTTCGAAATTTCAACCTTAGATTATTTGATCTAAGAGAATTTATAGCTTGAAATATCTAAGGTCCACAACATAGGTTGCAAAGATATAGAGATCAGAAAATCACAATNATATTTCTGCATTATTCTGGATATTTCTACATTGGAACTAGAGGTATTAAAGAGACTGTAAACTTAGGTTAGGAACTAGAGGTATTAAAGGGACTGTAAACTTAGGTCAGGAACTAGAGGTATTAAAGGGACTGTAAACGTAATTTTAACTGACCCTGTATTAGTAGAGTAACATGTCCGATTCACAACACTATCCTTAAAAGCATTGTCTAGTCAAGTATGAATTAGATACCATGTTTTTGTTTTTAAAACTGGTTATTTTCAATTGGGGGGTCTTTCCATAAATGACTTGTGCATTTCTTGCACTTTAGAAAAAATCGAGAAATTGTCCGAATTTAAGACTTCTCAAGCTAGAAAAACAAAGTTATCTTCCTCATTATTGATAAGATTAAATTGGGTACCGTTGTACATCGACCATATCCCTCATGTTAATGGAGGGTTACTTGAAATTACAATGACAGCCCATTTTGTAAGGGAATACAATTTTTGAACTGAATTAAAATAGAATTAAATTAAAAATTTAAAAAACTCGTTTTTAATCATCATACGAGGAATATTTGAGCCGCGACTTAAATTTAAGCCGCTGCTAAAATTCTTTAAATTCGGTCTCTCTGATCATAAAAATGATGGCCATTAGAAACAGTTGTCTCATGTTTTTTTTAAATGAGTCTTGTCGACTTGCGATAAAAAAAATATTTGATAATTTTTTATCATCAATATTTTTAGAAATTTTTACGACGAATCTGCTGCCAAAGCCAACAATTATATTGTGACACATAAGGTAAATATATAACTATAAACTAGCTGAAATCCCCGGCGTTGCCCGTGGTAAAAAACAAATTTCGAATCTGTGAACAAAATTTTTGATTTTTAAATAAAAATTGAATTCTAAAAGAAAACAATTTTTGCTCTCAAAAATACCAGAGATCTTATGAATTTTGTTTAAATTTCAATTTATGAAGGTAACAACGAAATTATTGAGTATAATTATGAAAGCGCTAAAATATTTGAAATGGCCGAACTATGGCAAATCTGTAATTATTGTTTTATGGAAAAATATTGCTAAAATCAAGTTACTTATGTTGAATGCCGTAGACTATTTCTAAAGTCGAAGATGACTCTAAAGATATCAATCAATTTATATTATCATTTATTCCTGTGTCCGAATTTAATGAATTCAAGCCGCGTCTCAAAACCCCAAGAAACCGGTTTTGATTAAGCGCCGGCTTAAATCTTGGAAAAAATTAATTCAATTTTATTTGGAACCAACTATATTTGAGCCGCGGCTCAAATTCTTTAAATTCGGCCTCAGGTTATATTTAGAACAACACTGTATAAGTTATTTTAGGGGCATTGTGGCGCCTGTTCATACCTTCAAGATCTTGGTGTTTATATGAGGTAGTTCTTATCTTATTCTTTATTAATTTTCTGATTTTTGCTTCTGTTTTGAAAGTTAAGTTGAAGGTTAATAAGAGGGGGTAGGGGGGTAAAAGTGCAATAAAAAATAGGAGTATTCTTTGTTCTTACATTGCTAGAGAAAACCCTAACTTAATATCGAACTAGATTTTCACGTCAAACTAAAGTATATAGTACATGGTGTCCCAATAAACATTGGAATTCAGTGACCCCTGTTTTAAGATTGAAATCATAAATGTTTTTTCCTTTTATTGAAGAGGTTTCATCCTATACCCCCTTTCATTTTTCCTTTACAGTCCCTTTAAAGAGAACAAAATTGTTTAGATTAAAAGCAAATTTTAAAAAATTATTTTGAAGTTTTTAAACCTCTCAGATATTTTCGGAACGTTTTAACCTAAGAGAATAGAATATATATTAGAGTGGAATTTAGTAGAAAAAAGTGTAAAACGGCCATTTTGTTGTAATATCATTTTCTCTTGGAAAACTGATAATTTTCATTTGTGGTCTCTATATAGTGACTTTCACATTTCTGCTACAGAAACTAAGGAGTAAATTGTCAGAGTTGAACATTTTGAAGCAAGAAAAAGGACGATATCTTCCACATTATTGATTAAGTAAAGGTTTAAAAGGGTACTTTTGTAAATCAGGGATGCCCCTCTGGCAAGGTCAATTAAAACTAAAACAACATGCCCTTTAGTATGTTTCGAAATTTGATTTTTTTTAAAACTTTCTTTAAAAATAAAATTTTTTTTATGACAAAAAATATTTTCCAAAATGATTTCAAAAATAGTTTTATTTCTTGTTTTGGCATTTTAAAGGGGAAACCATAAAATATGAGACAAATATTCCATGCTTCCTGTTGTATAATGTATATGGGTCTTTTTGTGGAGCCACCTAGAAGCCTCAAAATTAAAGTTTTCAAATGGACCAAAAAACTGTTAAATTAAATAGTTCTTTAGCTCGACAAGAAAAATTTTTTAAACAGGCAACAGATTTCCAATTAAAAGCCAATGATTTTAAGTAAAAAAAATTAACTATTTTATTTTTTTCAGACCTGCCTGTTAGGATTGATCACTCAGGAGCCTTTTAATAGGGTAAAAATATTAGTTTAATCAGGGTAAATTATTAAACAGGAGGCTTACCTGAGTGTTACCTGAGTGTTACCTGAGTGTTACCTGAGGGTTACTCACAAAGGATGAGACTTCAGAGACGATTGTACGGAATTTCTTTAGTATGTTTTTTTGCATTAAGGGTTTCTGGTAAGCCAAAACTGTCTTATTTCTGTGCTTAATCATTTAGTAAATCATCAAAATACTCAAATAAATGCAGAAACCAAAATCAAACTTCAAATCGTCATAATTTTAGAGCATTGGGTCGTCTTTACAGTCTGATCATTTTTATTACTAAACTAAATCAAAAATAATTTAAACTCGATCTCAAAATCGTCGCTTAATTCCCATATTTATTAGGGTACCCTGTACACTATTAGAATTGACAAAACTCCATTAACACAAGATGTATAGAATAGCGTTAAACCTATTTCTACTTGAGCCCCTTTTCTAACTAAGACAAGACACTCCCTTTAGGCGTAAAGCTAGGCACTGCATGAGTCCTCTGACATTCTGCCTAAATACCTTGTTTTACCTATACAGACTACATCTATATTTAGACCCATTTTCAATTTGAGTCTTTGAATTTCAACATATTAAAATAGTTTATATATTTCTTGATTGTAGGACAAATCTAACTGCAGAGACATGGCATATGCACTCTTAAGATTAGCAAGTATTATTTGTGCGCACTTGAGTATACTACAATCGTCATCATTTATATCAATACAATGAAGACAGCTTTCTTTTTCTATTTAGACTTTCTACCATTTTTTTTAAACAGCAGGACTCATAAACATGATAACAGAGAGACGCTGTCAATTAACAGCTTCTCTTAGTTTACTTGTAAACTTGTAATTAGTTGTAAAGCACTATTAATTAACAGACATCTTCATTGTATTGATATAAACGTCTACCATTGAATGTACTATGTAGCAAGATAGTCATGTATTTATTGATTGTAGGACTAATTTAACTGCAGAGACACGGCATTGTGCGCTCTTGAGCATAGCGAGTCCAGATCTGATGCGGGATTGTCTACTTGATTTAGGTAACAAACTGAAATAAAAAAGTAGTCCCCAACATTTTCATTAAATTTAGTTTCATATTTTTTATCGTGCAGTTTCACATGAGACTTGAGCTTACAAACTGTAACTTTAATCTTTTGGTTTACCTTCTAAAAAAACTGGCTTCAAATTACCATAATTTTTTGGTTAATAATTCATAGAAAACTAGAATAAGTGGAATAAAAGGAGTATAATGTTTTTTTCATTAAAAGCGTTGTAAAGAGTTTGTTATTCTGAAATATGCCATTTTAAAGTTATATCAATTGAAACGTTTACAAATTGCGAAACTTTAGCAATATTTCTTTTTAACAGATCGAAATCAGACAATTTTCTATCAGCATTATTCTAGATATTTCTGCATTATTCTGGATATTTCTGCATTATTCTGGATATTTCTGCATTATTCTGGATATTTCTGCATTATTCTGGATATTTCTGCAATATTCTGGATATTTCTGCAATATTCTGGATATTTCTGCAATATTCTGGATATTTCTGCAATATTCTGGATATTTCTGCATTATTCTGGATATTTCTGCAATATTCTGGATATTTCTGCAATATTCTGGATATTTCTGCATTATTCTGGATATTTCTGCATTATTCTGNCTGAGTGTTACCTGAGTGTTACCTGAGTGTTACCTGAGTGTTACCTGAGTGTTACCTGAGTGTTACCTGAGTGTTACCTGAGTGTTACCTGAGTGTTACCTGAGTGTTACCTGAGTGTTACCTGAGTGTTACCTGAGTGTTACCTGAGTGTTACCTGAGTGTTACCTGAGTGTTACCTGAGTGTTACCTGAGTGTTACCTGAGTGTTACCTGAGTGTTACCTGAGTGTTACCTGAGTGTTACCTGAGTGTTACCTGAGTGTTACCTGAGTGTTACCTGAGTGTTACCTGAGTGTTACCTGAGTGTTACCTGAGTGTTACCTGAGTGTTACCTGAGTGTTACCTGAGTGTTACCTGAGTGTTACCTGAGTGTTACCTGAGTGTTACCTGAGTGTTACCTGAGTGTTACCTGAGTGTTACCTGAGTGTTACCTGAGTGTTACCTGAGTGTTACCTGAGTGTTACCTGAGTGTTACCTGAGTGTTACCTGAGTGTTACCTGAGTGTTACCTGAGTGTTACCTGAGTGTTACCTGAGTGTTACCTGAGTGTTACCTGAGTGTTACCTGAGTGTTACCTGAGTGTTACCTGAGTGTTACCTGAGGGTTACTCACAAAGGATGAGACTTCAGAGACGATTATACTTCAGCTGTAAACTTTTTTTTTCTTTGACACACCTTTAGCAATAACAGAATATTTTTATGATGCCATATCAAATCATTAGATCGTTATATTTAAAGAGTTTAAGGTCGTTATTACAGTATCATCCTTTGTGGGTAACCCTGTATCTGAATTGAGAATTGTAGCATATACTACGCTAAAAATTGCATATGTCAGGCTAAAGTTTCCAAAAAATAGTTGGCCCAAAAATAAAAAGCATAATCTACTAATGTATTGAATTGGTACAGACAGAGCCTTAACCTTCCCAACATAACGGGCGTCTTGGGATTTTTCTTTAGTCCTATCTCTTCATCGTTTTTATAGTTTTTTTTTGCGAGAACTCTAAAAGTATTTGAGCTAGGAAGCTCAAATTATCTGGCTTTTCTAACTAACACAAGCCCATCACTTTAGGCTTAAAGATTGGCTTTTATACCTACTCTCTGAGTAATCAGACGTTTAAGTCGGAATGGGGTTAAGATGTCTGTATTACATAGTCTTTTATATAGTATGGATTGAAGGATATCGACTCTTAAGTACGTTTCTTCTCATCGCTATAATTGTCAACCACTGTGTGTGTCCTATCTATCCATCAGATAATAATCTAGAAACAAAAATATCGTTCTTTATATTGTTTTTTTTTTAATTTTTAAAATAATGAAATATTCTTGACAACATTCCTCCTCTGCAACTAAATGTATAGTTCATAATTCTGCCACAAGAGGTCATACTAATTCTATTAAACCTTTATGTTTTTCTAAATAAATAGTAATACTAAACCCCTGATAAATAAATGTTTGCTACAGTTTAAAGATTGCAAGGTTATTTGTTTCCCTTCTCTGAAAAAAATCAAGAATTTCATTTAAATCAACTTTTCTTCATAACTTACAATACTCTTTAAATTTATCGGGCTGATTTGAACTTTAAGGCATTGAGTGCATTGTGCCACATAGGATATTTATTTTATTTAACAACAGATGGTGCTTAATTCTAATTAATACAACCCCTTGGAATGATTTGTACAGAGTTCAGTGGCTATCTAACAGACAGTTTTTTTCTTTCAATGGCCCCTCTATGTCTCACTCTATGTGTAATACCTTGATGAAGAAGTCCCAGAAATCTAAGAATGAATATTTTTAATGTTGTCTTTAATTTGCATATTTAAATATCTGAAAATTCTTAAACTTCCAAAATCAGAATGATAGAAATAGCTTAACTGATTTTATCAGGGCATACCCTAGTTGAATTTTTGCAAGAATTATATTTTTGAGTTTTAATAATAAAACACTTTAATATCTTGCATCAAGTTCATTCTGTAAGTTTCAAGCATTGCATGGTTGCAATTATATTCTAGTTGAAGATCTGTGCGTGGTTTAATTCAGATTCATCCCAATTATAGTCATTGATCAATGGAGTAAAATCTGGAATTGTAATCAGAAATCTCCGAAATTCACCGTTACTCCGTGAGCAGTTACACAGAGGACTCAGTGGACACATACAAACTTAATATATAATAACAAACTTAATATATAAATAACAAACTTCCTTTTTTACACTGTAGTTATTATATTTTCTGACTCTATATAAAGAAATTTTAAATGTCGAAAAAATAATAAAAAATAAAAAAACAATTGACAGTGTTAAAATTAGTAAATTAAAGACTATTCAATCTTTAAACTGATCAATCTGACAATTAATATAATCTGTTATTTGATCAGTCTATTAACTAATCAATCCTCCGATTGATCAATCAGTCAGATAATCAATTTGTCAATTAATCAATCCTGCAATACTTGATCAATTCGTCTTTTGATCAATCAGTCAATGGAAATATTTGCCAATTAGTTAATCCTCAAATTGATCTACCAGTCAAATAGATCAGTTTGCAAATTAACTGATCAATTGATCAATTTGATAAAATACATTTAATCAATTTACGACAAATATAAAATCACAGATCACAAATCAATTCATATGAATAAGGCAATCAATCAATTAATCAAATCAATTAATTTATCAATTACCAATTTTGTATTGTAGGCTGATGGAACCCTGAATGAATGTATCCAATGAATGAATATAATATATATGAATATATTGTAGGCTGATGGAACCCTGAATGAATGTAATATATGAATATATTGTAGGCTGATGGAACCCTGAATGAATGTAATATATGAATATATTGTAGGCNATCAAGGCATTATTTTATTTAGGCGAACATCAGGCATTACCAGTGCGATTTGGAGACCACCGGGTGCCCTATACAATATAGAACATTGTTATTGGTACGGTCCTCTACGGAGCAGATATCAGGGATAGTTAGAATCCAATGTAGTTCAGTTTTTTAACACTAGATGTCTCTATTGTTGTTAAACTTTAAGAATAGTTCCTGCTTTTGGTGAATAATATTCAACAACCAAAAGTTCATGTGCTTTAAAGCAGGAAATTTCGAGCTAGCAATCAAAACTTAATTACTATGCTTTTCCTCCTAAATCATAAGCTGTGAGAAACATTTTCAAATCTAAATCGATTTGCCATCTTTATATTTCTATTCCACAACCTAGCTCATATAATGTATGTTATTGCCATTAAATGCGCAAATTTCATTCTTTTTGTATACAGGGTTACCCACCAGGATGAGATTTTAATTGTGGCCAAAAATAACTTAAATATGACGATTAGAAGGTCAAATAGGCTTCTTATTGTCTTTTCAATAACTTGGAAAATATATGATTAAATATTAAAGAAAAATGTGATCAACCGTTAATAGAAGAACAAAGCCATAACAAATTCTGTACAGTCGTTTCTGAAATCTCAATCTTTGTGGGTAACCCTGAATGTAACCTATACATTGTACATAACCACATCCTGTTCAGTACATATCCACATATTCCGTAAATATGTAATTATAAATTACCAGTCCATACTAGTTACCAGTGCTGAACCTGTTAATAAAAACATTGTTTATAATTAAATATTATTATTTGACTGAAATACATTTGTTTTACTTCTCTTCTTATCCATCTACATCTATCTATCTATATATCTATCTATCTATCTATCTATATATCTTTCTACCTTAGCATTTATCTATCTATCTATCTATCTAGCTATCTATCCATTTATGTATCATATATATGTATCTATCTATTTAGCCTTATTTCTATCTATGTATCCATATTTCTATCTATCTATATATCCATATTTCTATCTATCGATTTATCCATATTTCTATCTATCTATCTATCCATATTTCTATCTATCTATCATAAAGTCTCCGAAGTAAACGCGTTAAGGTCTCTATCCCTCTGCAGTGTTTCTACGCCTCCTGGAGAATGTACACACTCACGCCAAGGCAAACCATACAAGTTGGATAAAACAAATATATATTTGATATATATTTGTATAAATGTATATTTTCAACAGGAAATAATTAACGGCAACTCAAGTCAAGGATTATAAAAGTGAAAGAAAAAAAAGTGAGAATTAAAAAGTGTTTTTCCTTTGTCAGAAAACATTGGTAACTACTTATCACTCATTTTTTATTTAATAAATTTTGAATTTTCATTTCAAAAGATGAAAAATTGAATCATTATTATTATTATTATCGTTATTATACAATCCATATTGAGTCTAGGGTTAGTCAAAAAGGATGAGTCTTTTATGACATCATATAAAACTCCTCAAAATGGCCTTAAGGTTAAATTCGGTCTTTTGCCTTTTAAAGAAGAGAAAAAAGCTGAATTAATTCTGTACAGTCGTCTCTAAATTCTCATCCTTACATTAATAAATTTTGAGTAAAATAGCCATTAAAAAAGATAAAAGTAAATCACCAAATTCTCATGCACACATCTTATTTTTGACACTTTTTCCCGCGAGTAAACTTTTTTTTATAAAATGCGTTTTGTTTCAAATATCGTTTCTTATTATTTTTTTTAAAATTTCAATTTTTATTTTTAAAAAGCATTTTCATGTTGTTTTGATTAATTATTCTAAGAACTGACAGTAAATTCATACTTCGCAAAACTGGTTTTTTGCAGTTTAATCTTCAATAAAAACAGATGGTATTATACAGTTTGATAGTTATCATTTTATCCCGAAAAAAATACAATTTGGCAAGCATGATTTTTAAAAATTTGTATTATAAAAATTTCTTAGTATTTAGTTTGCACTTTTCGGCATTAAACCACTAAAAGTTTAAATAAACAAATTCAAGTTTAAAAACTATAATAAAAGTGAATTTACGAACTTAAAAATGCAAGTCATGTTAAGAAAACCAAATAGAAATAGAGAAGCAACTAAATCCTTTTTTTCAACCGAAATTTAAGAATAATTTGAACTAACAAAATTCATAGTTTGAAATATCTAAGGTCTACGGCATTGGGTTGCAAATATATAGGGTTATATTAGAGTTTTTTAGCAAAGACTCAATTACATAGGGGGGATATTGGTTACAGAAGGAAGCAGGGCATTAGTATTATATAAAGGGAGGGAGAGGGGTCAAGGAAAATATGCATATTTTGGAATGACTTCTATAAGATAAATAAAACTGAAAAGATGGCACATCAGGGGAGGGTTCAGCAGTATTGACAATGCCAAATGTCCCTTTGTCTTTTATGTCTATTCTTCCGGCCTTGCGCCCATACCCTTCAACCTCACTAGCTTTAATCAACATTGTATTTTTCCGAAAATTTGGAAATAAATCTTGATGAAAGGAAATATTTTGACAGCTTTTAATCTTGGGGAAAAAATCTAATTTTTTAAAGATCTCCCTACCCCCTCCTTGCTCTTTTTGTACTTCCTTAAGTCCAGTAAAATGCCCCGAAGTGAGGCGTTAAAGTTCAGCTTTTGGGTGCACCACATGGGTCAATACTAGAGACACCACTTCGGAGAGGGGGGGACTGCAGAAGTCCTCAATTAGTAATCACCGCCACCCAAACGTGTTTTGCGGCCTGTGCGCTCCTCAATTGGTAATCTCCACTACCTCAATTGGTAATCTCTGAACTGATGAAGTGCTCAAGACTCGATGAACCCTCATTTTAATTTACTCTGAAATGTAATCACCGTAAAATCTTGTTTTCTGAGATTTTAATTTAATGCAATTTTAACACAATTATTGGGGTTTCATGGCATCTGTATTGACATAAGCTAAATTTCAGATTGGTTTGTTCAACAAAAACTGAGAAACAAGGCAAAGTTTATTTTAGCCGAATTTTAGATGAGACATTTTTAGATATAGCTATATGATGATAAAAATGTACCCAGAATTCAAATGTACAACAAATAACTAGAAATAATTTGTAATAACTTATATATTGCCTAACTTTTGGTTTGCTTCATCAAATAGCTAGAAATAACCAGTAATAACTTATACATTGCTTAATTGGATCTAAGATACTAAAAGGTCGGGCTACCTGTTTACTAAAAATTATCCCATCCCACCCAAAGTAATATCTATCTTCATTTAAAAGATATTTTCAAAAAAAACCTTTACAGTGTTTAGATTTTAGTATTCGCCTACTCAAGTTCAACGTCTAAGACAAAACTAATTCCATGCATAGAAAGAACAAAAAATTGAGAAAAATAAGTCTCATCTCGCCCAATAGTGAAAATGAAGTATTAACTTCACTATTTTTAGTGCTTCAATGCTAGCTGAGGAGCACGCATGCCACAAAGGTTCAAAAATGTAATTTTATTTCTAGCGCTTTATGTGGCATATTTATAGATTTATTTTCGAAACTGAGGAGCAATTAAAAAAGCTTATAGAATATTGTACACCATAGGACCATTAACAGAGGTCAATATGGTCTTGTTTCTAAGAAATGAACAATTTAATGTTACCCATTTTTTGTCTGATTACCAATTGAGGTGGTGGAGACTTGAGATTACCAATTGAGGAGCGCGCATACTGCAAAACACGTTTGGTAATGGTGGCGGTGATTACAAATTGAGGACATCTGCACTCCCACCCTGCTTCGGAGGGAGGGCAAGATAACTGGTAGATTGAGGGTTGTGATGATAGGGGGTAGTGGGTTAAGGGGTAGGGCAAGCGGGAAGGGTAGGGTCGGGAGGTGGAGGGGTGGGGTGTGCATAACTGGTATTGCAACTGTTCATCTTGAACTTGAACTATTAAAATGACCCAATGTCCGATCCAGCACTCCTCCTTAACTGTACTTTAATACTTTACACTCACATTCTTTCATTTTCTTCCATAAAAGTCAATAATATAATAAAACACTGGCCGAATTTAAAGAATTTGAGCGGCGGTTTAAATTTAAGCCGCGGTTTAAATATGGTTGGTTCCACTTAAAAGTGTATCAAATATTTCAAGATTTAAGCCGGCGCTTAATTTAAACCGGGTTTTGGCAGATTTAAACCGCGGCTCAAATTCTTTAAATTCCATCTCAAGACATTCAAATATTTGTTCCCCCTTGCCGGCCAAACGGCTGGACCGAATGGGCTGACATTTTTTGTGGACACTCATGGAGTGACAAAGGCTAATAAAATTCTTCAATTTTTTTTCCACGGGCAACGCCGGTGTTGTTGTTAGTTCAAACCATTATAAAAGTTGACTGCAGAGTGCAGATGTCATTTTCACATTACTTGATGTTGATTTCTTTGAGAGTCTCCCGCTCGGATATTTAGATTTTCCTTTAATCCATTGCATTTAATATAAAATTCTAAATGGAAGAGAATTACAATTTTTCGTTTTATTTATTTTGTTCAATATAGATTAATCAAACAAAAAAAGCATTCATTCAGAATGTATCAAGCAGAATTTACATATAAAAATTAACCCAGAAAAGATCGTGTTCAGATCGTTTTTGCACGTTTTATTGTTTATAATAAAAGAAAACTTAAAAGTTGTATTAAATTTTTTTCTAAGAGCCATCCAAACCGATTAAAAACATTAAATTTTTAAACCATAAAACTACCAAAAGCCTCTTTAAGTAAAGATGAAATTAATTATATTATTAATTAATTAATTAATTATTATTAATTACATTACTTATAAGTTATAACAATCAGACGAAAATACATAATTCAATGATAGGTATATACAATAATTAGTCAGCATTGATAAAACATTTTTTTTTAAATTGACCCAGTACCCCTGTGCCCCCCTTGACTTGCACCCCCCTAGAGCCAGAAACAGGCTCAAATTTAGTAAACATTAAACTTACATATATATTCAGATTTTTTACTTTTCTTATCAATCGACAATGTAAAAATTCGTCCATTTTATGATTATTTCTCAAATTTTTTCTTGTACCTTAATCTTATTCACAATAATTTTTTTCACATTAACCGTCAGAGGGGTGCACAAAAAAAAGTGCACCACCCTAGGCTAAATCTCCACTACGCGCCTGCCACGACTTTTTATTGTTCAATAAATTCAATAAATTCAATAAATAAAGTTTTTATTAACTAAAATTAGTTTTTCTAACTTGTATTGTTGGTATTCAGTTTTCTTCTTCTGCCAATCTTTACAGCGGTCAGATCTCAATCCTGTGGACAGGACAGGTATAGTATAGTCATCTATATAATAAAGCTCTTCACATATATATATAAATATATATGTGTTATAGAGGTCGTGGAAATGGCCTCTAATGAAACAAGATATAACTTTGTCTATATTTATACTTCAAGAGGAAACATGAACAGTCTTCCATATTACACGAGTTGAATATATCCCTAGAACTGATGTTTGGTTTGGAAATTATCTGAGGCCAAAGTTGTGGAACGTCGTCTTCCACAATGTCAGCTATAGCCGGCCAAACGCCTGGACCGAATTTGCTGACATTTTTTTTAGGGAACCCATGAAAATCCCGTTGGGAACATAGGCTAATAAAAAAATCCAATTTTTTTTCAAGAGGGAAATTTTTTTAAAATATTTTTTTATTCCACGGGCAACCCCGGGTACTTCAGCTAGTATACACTATACATCCAGACAGGCAAAGTTTAATAAATTCTGAAGGCTTTGTCGGCTTTAAAGGGAGTTTTCGCGAAAAATGAAAGGGGGTATAGGCTTAATGCGATAAAAAAGCGCTTTTGATCGCTACTAATCTTACTTCTATCTGTTGCGTCTATAAGGAGAAAATTGTTAAAGACGTCTCATACCGAATGACTTAGCGCCCATACAAATTCAGACTATTGCAACATACTACTTAGACTGTAAGAAATCAATTTAATTTCAAACAGATCATTCAGATATTACAACCTCTAAAAAAATAAAATATTATAAAATATGAACTATACAAATGTTGCGAAAGATAATCGATGACTATAGGTTGTAATATCTGAATGATTTGTTTGAAATTAAATTGATTTTTTACGGTCTAAGTTATGTGTTGCAAGTTATTCGGTATTAGTAGTTTTTAACAATTTTCTCCTTATAGACGCAACAGATAGAAGTAAAATTAGTGGCGATCAAAAGCGCTTTTTTATCGCATTAAGCCTATACCCCCTTTCATTTTTCGCGAACACTCCCTTTAAAAAGGGCCTGAGCCTTTGGTCTTGCCTCACTAACTCGTCATTCGTTTTTTTCAGAACTAAAAAGATCATTTTCTGCTCTATTTTTAGAGAAATCAATTATATTTTTGCGTCAAAGCTTGCAAACTTTGTAGTACATAAGCATTATTAGTCAATACGCAATTGTGCTTTTTTGACAGCAAAAGAATGGGATGACAGCCAAATAAGCGATTTTTGTTGAATATATGAGATTGTTTGTTGAATATATGAGATTTTTTGTTGAATATATGAGATATTTTGTTGAATATATAAGAATTTTTGTTGAAAATATAAGATCTTTTGTTAAATATATGAGATTTTTTTTAGTATATTCGGTTTTTGTTGAATATTTGAGATTTTTTATTGAATATATTTGGTTTTTATTGAATATATGAGATTTTTGTTGAATATATTTGGTTTTTATTGAATATGTGAGTTTTTTTGTTGAATATATTTGGCTTTTATTGAATATATGAGATTTTTTGTTGAATATATTTGGTTTTTATTGAATATATGAGATTTTTTTGTTGAAAATGAGCATTTTTTTGTATTTCGTAATTTAGAGTGTTCGTTTTCAGAAGAAGCTTTTTTATACACTTATTAATTGGTAAAATATTTTCAGTAAAGTTTTGGGGAACTGGTTTCTAGAACACGGATCCCCTGACCTACTTCTTCCACCCTATCCACCGTAAGTAAAATCTAAAACATGGATCCCCCACCTACTTATTCCACCCTATCCACCGTAAGTAAAATCTAGAACATGGATCCCCTGACCCACTTATTCCACCCTATCCACCGTAAGTAAAATCTAGAACATGGATTCTTCCACCCTATCCACCGTAAGTAAAATCTAGAACATGGATCCCCTGACCTACTTCTTCCACCCTATCCACCGTAAATAAAATCTAGAACATGGATCCACTAAACTACTTCTTCCACCCTATCCACCGTAAGTAAAATCTAGAACATGGATCCCCTGAACTACTTCTTCCACCCCATCCACCATAAGTAAAATGAGATCAGGACGCTTGATCGTGATCTTGTGTTAGATCAGCTATAGCTATCTCAGAATTATTTTGTTATTCTTGTTTTCAGGGGCGCGCATAATACTATTTTTTAATCTGATTCTGAACTTTTGAACTTCGGCCAGTCGTTAAACTTGGATTGGGTCAAGGGAACTGAAAGACAAAATATTCAGCAGATTTAACGTTTATTTGCACGAAGCAGAAACACATGAACAGAAAAGCCAAGCATATATTTTCCAATAAAACAGTTAAAATTAATATTTATTTAGGTTGATTGGGCCTTTACTTCATGATCCATATAGAAACAGTCGTCGGCTGAAACCCCCTCCAACTCCAAATCCAAGGTATTATTTTATAGAATACTAGCTTAGGAACCATAGAGAATAAAATATATATATTAGAGGGGAATTTAAAGAATCTCTCGGTATGAATTTTTTCAGTCCCTTTCAGCCTGAAAGGGAGTTCAAAGTGTACAAATAATGTAAATGTTCACTAATTATATGCAGTAGAGTACATTAATACAGTATGTTCCCTAGACTTCTCATTTCAATTTCGAATTTTATAAAGCTGTTAAATATAAACTTTATAAAATGAATTAAATGAATAAAAAACATCATTTGATTTATAGTTATAACGGAAAATCATCGTTTGTAAAGTGAAAGGCATAGAGTCTATGTGAAATGATCATTGGTCAATTATGAAACCATGGCCTATTTCAAAATTTGGGTTTCTTTTAGCATAATTTTAGATTTTCTTTAAAATGATGTTCCAGGCCCCAAAAGGTTATATAGCGTAAATATGTGAAGTACACCTGCAGTATGGAAACAGTACAAAAAAATGGCCGTTTTACACTTTTTTCTAGTAAATTCCCCTCATATATATTTTCTATTCTCTTTGTTAGGAACTCAGCGCTGCCAAGGTTTCACATAGTTACCTCAGCCGTCTTACACCATCTTTAACTTTATCAAGCTTTTCAGTTATTTGCGTAAACTTCAGAAGTTCTCAGTAAGGTAACAGTAGGTGCACTATTTGCGTAATTTTCAGAAGTTTTTAACTCTAAAAAGTTTATTTTTAGTGAGGCAACAACTAGTAGATCCACCATTTGCGTCAATTTCAAAAGTTTTCAGTGAGGTAACAGTAGGTGCACTATTTGCGTAAATTTCAGAAGTATTCAAATCTAAAAAGCCTATTTTCAGAGAGGTTTGTGGAATGCAATGGTAACAGTATAGGTGCACTATTTGCGTCAATTTCAAAAGTTTTCTGTGAGGCAACAGTAGGTGCACTATTTGCGTCAATTTCAGAAGTTTATAACTATAAAAAGTCTATTTTTAGTGAGGTTACAGTAGATGCACTATTTGTGTCAATTTCAGAAGTTTTCAGTGAGATAACAGTAAGTCCACTATTAGCGTCAATTTCAGAAGTATTCAAATCTAAAAAGTCTATTTTCAGAGAGGTTTGTGGAATGCAATGGTCTTCAGAGAAGAACCACGAGGGGAAACACAAATATAGACTTAGGTTAGGGACTAGAGGTATTAGAGGGAATATAGAACGGAGGGAATAATAGAAAAATATAAATGTTACGTCCTAAGATTTCTTTCAAAGTTTCTAATTTCTTCCTTTAAAGGGAGTGTCTTCTTTTTTCTTGTACTCTAAAATTTGATTTGAAATATTTGTTATTTAATGTATATGTCCGATTTTCTCGGACACAGCAGTTTTTGATAAATATTTTAGATATTTATTAATCTTCAACGTTTTTGATAAATATTTTAGAAATTCATAAATCTTCAACAGTTTTTAATAAATATTTTAGAAATTCATAAATCTTCAACAGTTTTTAATAAATATTTTAGAAATTCATAAATCTTCAACAGTTTTTATTAAATATTTTAGAAATTAATAAATCTTCAATAGTTTTTAATAAATATTTTAGAAATTCATAAATCTTCAACAGTTTTTAATAAATATTTTAGAAATTCATTAATCTTCAACAATTTTTAATAAATATTTTAGAAATTCATAAATCTTCAACAGTTTTTAATAAGTATTTTAGAAATTCAAAAATATTCAACAGTTTTTAATAAATACTTTGAGAAATTCACTAATCTTCAACAGTTTTTAATAAATATTTTAGAAATTCATAAATCTTCAACAGTTTTTAATAAATATTTTAGAAATTTATAAATCTTCAACAGTTTTTAATAAATATTTTAGAAATTCATTAATCTTCAACAGTTTTTAATAAATATTTTAGAAATTCAT